TTTTTTTTTTTTTTTTTTTTATTCTTTTTTGAAGAACGTCGAATATAAGTTTATCGAGCTACTGGTGTGCGAGCTTGTCCAGTCCTCCGAGGAAACCCTAAAGGAGAGCATTTCCTACAGGTACAATGCCATCAAGTCGAAAAATTCCATAATGAACAAAAGGTTGCAAGTAGGTGAATATGAGGGGAAATTACTCCAAGGAAGGGGAAAAGAGTGATAATAGTATATCACAGGGATTTTATCTGCCTAGGCGCATTTCATACGTGATTTGTACGCTCCCGCTAATGACCCTTCCTCACACCTTATTCGCACGTTCTGTGAATTCTGCCTCCTCGCCAATTGTGCAGGACATAAATCTGTTGATAAAGTCGAAAAACCCGTCCCTCCTAATGCAACTCCAAAAAACGGTAAGCAAACAAATGGAACTTCGGAAGAACAGACACTGCACCAGAAGCATATATAACTCCAGTTGAGCAAGGGAGCATTCCCCCTCTGCAGAGGAGGAGATACCAATATGGCGTGTATAGTAGGACACAAAGCCCACTTTACATTATGCGTCGGTAAGGCTTCATCAGACTAGCATCCCATTTACAATTAAAGCGGCTACTCAGAAGAGAAGCTCCATTGCGGCGGGCAACTCTATCCCACCTTTTTTGTGCTCCCTACCAATTGCACCTTTAAATTAACTTCCACGTGGAACGATCTTAATAGCTTCTTTCTCTCATGTAATCGTTTATTAGTGCTCTTTTTTTTTTCTCCCTTGAGCGATAAAATGGCTTCCCCAAAATTGGGGAGCCACCTGCATATGACTCTCCAAATTGTACGGAAAGAATAAAATGGACAAGTGCAACGCTGAGTACACAGATGAATACACAGATAAATGCACTGATATGGGCTGACCTTTCTACTGTACACTCCACTGGACGGAACACGTGTCGTGAGTTTTTTTTTTTTTTCTGTGAACAAAACATCAGTGCCTCAAATGGGCACCAAGTGATGCTCCTTAACAAAGGGAGAGTACAGATCCATAGGAACTTCCACCTCGTTTTTCCAAACAGAGCTGGGTATGTACATCCGCTCAAAGGGGCTATGCCCCATAGGGATAGAACTAATTTTTAAGGTATATACAATGCTGGGTGGTAAAAAAAGAGAGTTCTTGCCAATATGGGTGGGGGGGGAATAAAAACATCCGAAAGTAGCCGTCATTTTATATGTCAAATGAGGAGACTCGCTATCAGGGAACAGCACTTATCACGGTTCTGTACTGCACAATAACCCATGGTGGGATTAGACATTCGCGTAGAAAATACCCTGTGGGGTAGTCCAGTTAGAAATTCCTTCCAACAGTCGTGGAACATACGATGTGGAACATTACCATGTAGATCATCCCGCCGGGGGGGTTGCATTTTCCCCGTTTCGTCATTCCATCTCGCATATGTCATGATTTTTTTTTTTTCACTGTTTGCCTTCTTTACTTTTGCTACGCGCATGAAGTGTTTCCCTTTTTACTTTTCGCCTTCACGATTGGTCAGGCAACCATATGGGACAAATTTTATCCCAACAATGGATGCGTTGGCGCAATGGCAAAGAGGGCATTATTTTATATACTTGAACAACGCGATTGCGCTGGGGTGAGCTATATGTAGATGGTTGGGCTTATCAAAGTGGGCAGCCAGGTGTGGTAATAGCGATGCATGGAAAAAAAAAAAAGAACAAAATGAAGCCACATAACGTAAACACATTTGCATACATTTCACTTATACCACTCTGCAGTGCTTGTTGTGGCGTAAACTTTTGCCTCACAAAAAGGGGCGTAATAAATGGCTGCCATCTGATTTGTTAGGGGCAATTATAATTTGGGACAAAAAAAAAAAAAAAAAGACCATCGGGGGTATCAAATGGTGAAAAAATGTCATCCCATATTTCTCAGAAGAAAAAATTTTCCAACTTTTAGTAATCTTTCATACATATGTAAATATTTCAGTTAGAAAAAAAAAAGAAATACTTCCTCCCTTGGCGAGCTAATTCCTTTTGTGAGGTGTCACAGTTTGAGGATGGGCAACTGGGATTTTCCCCTTTGACGAACGCAGAGGTAAATGGGTCATTCAATACGTCATTAAAGGTGTTATTTATATTTATCATGGACGGGGCCAATACGGTATGTATACCTTCTTTCTAAAAAAAGGTCACTCAAAATTAATTCAACACATGTTTGTTTCAGCATAGCTGGGCATAAACACAATCATTGGGGTTACCCCTGCTTGTCGCAGCGTCCCCCAACAAAAGGCGATTTTATACTTTTACCATTCAAGCTCAGCGTGCCACGACGCAGCTCTATTTTTTTTTATGCGGACCACGGTGGGGAATAATAAATAATCGCGTGCCCCAAGTACATAGAAATGGATCGTAATGCCCAGCATATACAGCGCAATGCGTAAAATTCCCACTGCCTTTTATAGCCCCACTGCATTTGTATTTACCCCCCACTTGCACGTTTTGCCCATGACGAAGGCGCACAATACCAATTTTAGCAAAAAAATTTCAAATCGTTTTGCAAACACGATGGCTCACCATCCTATGACTGTATGAACAATTTTCCAGCCAAGGCATAGAAAAAGAGGGGAAAAAAAACAAAAAAAAAAAATGAAAGCTTCCCCGATTCGAAATAGCGAATAAGGAAACACTTGATGCTGTTTTGAAATTTTTTACATGAAGATTCATAATCATTCTTTGGCGGAAAAAGGAGATCTCTCACAGTGCGTTTCCCCCTTCCGCACTTCACCCCAGTATTTTTTTTTTCCATCAAACGATATCACCCGCGCACATTTGTTGTATGCAAACGGCTATGTAATATATTTAAACCGCTCCTCACACTTGGCCGTTTTATAGTGTAATCCAAGTGTACGCAGGGGATGCGGTCAATCCGTGTAAATGAGCAGAACGAGCAAAAAAAAAAAAAAATGCTTTTATCGAAACATGTTTACTTGAGTGAAAAATATGCCAGAGTAGGTAACCCTATGTCCACGTGAATTGATGCAGCTCGCCATTTAAGAAGTATCCAATAAGAAATAACAAATTAGAAAGGAAAAAACAAAAAAAAATAGTCTTCCCCCCCAAAAAAGAAGCCCCAGTTGCCCATATAATGTTAAGACGTCTCCCACAACGCATAATTACGAACAAATCATGTTAAAGTAAGGACACGGTTTGAGAACCTCCCCCGCCAGATTGAATAGCCACCCCGCGTTTTCACTGCGCCCTCCCTCCTAATGTGACAAAATCGGGCACCATGCAGAACAAATCGAATACGCCCAACATGCCCGGCTTGCCTGGACTGCCAGGAATTCCGGGCCTCCCGGGTATGCCAGGATTACAAAATATGCCAGGCTTTCCAGGATTGTCAGGAATGCCAGGTGTTCCGGGCATGCCCAACATGCCGGGGCATCCGATGAGTGGCCAGGGCATGAACAGCGGTGGACCCTACATGAGTAATAACTCGATGAGCCAAATGCCCATGCCATTCCTCCCGGGACTAATGGCACCTATGAACGGGCCTGATTATTATGGAAAAAATATGATGCACATGAACCCAGGGGTAGGACCGTACGACAATTACAATCCTCTAATGTATGGACAGCATAACGCCATGAACATCCCCATGCCGCCAGGCGCGGTAGACATTATGGGAGACATGGCGGCTATGCAGATGGGAAATCCTAATATGATAAAAGTGTACAATAAAGATTTTATGAACAACAGTTCGCAGAAAGGGATGGGCAGTCATAATATGATAGGGGGGCAGATGGGAGGAAACATGGCAAACATGCCCATGAACTACATGAGCAATTACAGTGCAGAAAAGCACGGGTGGTGTGAAATGGTGGCAAAGAATGGGAGGAAGTATTACTACAACTCTATAACCAAAGCTTCCAAATGGGAAAAGCCAGATGAACTAAAGTCCAAGGTTGAGCTACGAATTTCTCAGCAAACGAAATGGAAGGAGTATTTCTGTGGGGATGGGAGAACCTACTGGCATCATGAAGAGAAAAATATTAGCGTATGGGATGAACCCGAGGACATTAAAAAGATTAAACTTGAATGCGCTGCCGAGGACGCAGAAAATCAAGAGAGCGTAGAGAAATGCCCAAACAGCGGTAGCACTACGCATGAAAGTGTGAATAAGGGAGAAAACGCGGATAACACCCCCCCGAATGGTTTCCCAAAGGAGGCGTCGAATCAAACCACCGATGATGCTATGAACAACGTGAGTACGGACAGTACCACGGGGCAAGAACACACGCCCAGTAATCATCTTGCCATGTCTAGTTATCTCCATATGCAAAATGGGATTCCAACCGGGCTGAACAATAACGCTATAATGCCCAACAGCAGTGTCGACGAGGTGAATCAGAAGAAAAATGCACCGGAGAAAATCAATAACAGAATAACCATGGTGTGGAAAAAATTCGAAAATAAAAATGACGCAAAAGAACACTTAAAAATATTATTTGAAGAAAAAAATATTAACCCAAAATTGACCTGGGAAAATGCTTTAAAAATTCTGGAGAGTGATGACCGCTGGTTCAGCTTGTCTGTACTAACCAAGGGGGAAAAAAAGCAAATGTTTTCCGAGTACATTAGCCACGCTGTCAAACGGGCTAGTGAAAATGAAAGGAGAAAAAGGCAAAAGTCGAGGGAATTAATTTTTCAAACCTTAATCAATTGGGAAAAATTAAATGAACAAACGTCCTACGAAGAATTTGCGGCAGAATTTTATAAAGAAGAATGGTGGGACTGGATCACAGAAAATGAAAGGGATGAAATATTTCAAGATTTTGTCGATGATTATCGACCCAAATTTAAAGAAGCTCGAAGAAAGAAAAGGAAAAAAACATCCGAAATTTTAAAAGAGAAATTTCAAGAATATGCAGATAAAAAACATCCATTAAAATGGAATGATGTCAAAGTCTACTTCAAAGATGATGCAGACTTTAATTCTTTGCACAAAATTGACGCGTTAGCTTCTTGGGAAAGCTTCTTCGAAAAATATCATAATGATGAAAAAATGGAATTAAAAAAAAAAGTGTTTCGAATTTTGAGAAAAAAAAGAGATGCCTTCATCGAATTATTGAACGAATATCATGAAAAAAGTGTTCTCAATATGAAAACACAGTGGATCTTTTTTGTGTCCAAAATTTATAAAGATGAGCGTTATACAGATTTGTTAGGACATCAAGGGTCATCCCCCAAAGTCCTATTTGACGAATTTATTGATTCCCTCCAGGAACAATACCTGAGGCATAAATCATACCTCAAAGGTGCTTACAAAGAAATGGATTGCACAGTAGATGAAAATACCACCTTTGAGCAATTTTTACAACTCTTTGCAACTGTGCAGAGTAAGTACAACATCCCGCACGCAAATATGAATTTTATTTACCACTCGTTGCAAAAAAAATTAAAAGAAAAAAAAAATAAAGAGATTAAACATATTAACAAAGTTGCAAAATATTTCGCCAAAAACCCAGAACTTAGAACCAGCATGTCCTACAGTAAAGTGATTAGCATTGTTAAAAACTCCAGCAGGTGGCCCGTCCTGTGTGACCTCTGTCCAAATGAAGAACAAAAAATGGCTGCATACAATACGTGGAAATCTTTTGCAAATTCGACGAAGAATTGCCTCTCCATTGATTCTTCAACTTCCACTTCAAATAAAAATGGAAAAAATGGAAAGCGCAGGGAATCGGTCAAAAATAGTGATTATGACACGGAGGAAGAACACAACAGAAGAGTTCACTCCAAGTATAGGAAATATTCCAGAGAGGAATCTGACTCCAGTGACCAGACAATAGAGTCCCTACGCACCATTGATCATAATGCACCCATCTAGCCATTTTGTAATTTTTTTTTTTTTTTTTTTTTGCCATGTAGCTATTTTTCAGTCAATTTTTTGACATTTTTTACATTTTTTTACATTTTTTGACGTTTTCGCCATAACGGGTTATACATTTTGATACCTTGTGTGCAAAGGAAAAAAAACCTATAAAAAAAAAAAAAAAAAAAAAAAAAAAAAATTACAAAATGGCTAGAAAATTGCAAACGACCACCGGATCGGTACATAATCCGATCGACGCAGCGTTAAATTACACGAGGTAGGAAGCCGAATCCCCCAAAGGAAAAACATTGCAACGCTAGTCCTGCAGGCTCATTGGACTCTCAATAGAGACACCAACGTTGGTGAGTAGGAAACGAAGAAGGAGAAAGGCAGTGATCGACTCTTCCCAGCCTGTACCTTCCGTAGTGTAATTTTAGGGACAATATACACATGTGCATATACACATATGTACATGTCCTTTTGTGCGTGTGTGCGCTCATATATTCTCATGCGCAGCCGTTTCCCCCGCCTAGACACCCCTAGCAAGGCCATCATTTATGCCATTATGCATAAGTAGCCAACCTTTTTTCATTTCAAATGGCAAATTGTGAAAAAATCTAATAAAACGATTTTTTTTTTTTTATTTGTGTTACGAATCAGCTCCTACGGCCCTGCGAATAACCCACCCCCAATTTGATTGCATATCAATAAATTTGAAATTTGGTTCTTGTTTTTTTAAAGGACCTGCATAGATATCTGTGTACACGCGAATATGTACACCTATTTTTGTACATACCTCATGGAGCCCACACCCAGCATTTTCATTTAAGCATACACATGCGTGTGCGCACATGTGTGTGTTTAATGTTTTTTTTTTTTTTAACGTATTTGAATAAACATTTGTATTATCCTTCCCTCCCCTCAATTTAAAACATAATTCAAATTTAATTTCGTGCATGCATTGCGCGTGATGCCCACATTAGCGGTCGTAGTCTGGTAGTATTTCCGTTGCAGTTGTATCCATTACACCGTCAGGAAACAAACCAGAAAAGATACCCAACCTGTATCACGTGAGCTCACCTATTTATTCCCAAACGACTGACGCTATGGAGTCTACATATGTGTGCGCCTGTTCATATGGATGGTGTGCGCGCCTTAGGTTGCCTTTCCTTCGCAGAATGTACTCACCAATTTATTGGAACGTCCTTCAAATGTTTTAAAACAAATTTCCATAAATGATCAAGTTGTTGCTACTCTGACAGTGCTTTCACGATTTTATTTGGACTTCTTCGAACAAAATGGGCACACAAATCGCGCGCGTAAATCAGCACACTGTACATCCGTGCATCAAGAGGTATGTCATGGTATCTTAGGAGGGGGAAAAGTCCGTGTCCGTCAAAATTTGCCTGCGCATGCTAAGGAGTGTTCAACGGGCTGCACAAAAGTAAAGCCCCCATTTTGTTACTTTCTTCTTATTTTACAGTTTTAAAGCTGAAAATAGCAACATTTTCTTTTTTTTTTACATGTATAAAGCTCTATTTTGCGTACGATCCACCTTGGTAATTCTCTCACTTGACATAGGCCGTGTTTTGCCTACAATTGTGCAGCGTTCATACGACGGATTCAGCGTAGGTTGTACGTAAATAAACGGGACGGTTCACACAACCTCAAGGGTTGCGTGCGCGTACTACGCTCTGCATACGTGAAAGTACGTAGATATATATATATGCTCATTTAGCAAGGATTTCTCTTTTTTTTGTAGTACTAAAAAAACGTACGGAAAGATTTACAAAAAATGAAAGGCGCAACGGACTGCATTGAATACTTTTTGCGGGGGAACAGTTCCTTACAATGCCATTTTTGCGTTTTTACCCCTCTGGAAATTAAAATTGACATTACGTACGCATACACTATGTATATGAGTATAATATATCATTACGCATAAGTCATTTGCATAAGTGAATAATTACCTATGCATAGGTTTATGCCTGCGATGAATGACCCCCTTTCCTTTTTTTTTTTTTTTTTCTTTTTACTTTCCCACTTTTTTTAGTCTAATTTTTAAAAAGTTTTTTAAATACAATTTTTAACCTTTTGTTAATTTGATTACTGTTTGTCCGAACGAGCTGGCGTAGCGTTTACGTTTATTCGTACGTGATGTGATGCCTCTGGCAGCACGCGGACGAATGTCACGTACATATAATTATAATATGCGCACATATGCGTACGTATGCATACTTATGCGCGCTTTAATATGTACATTTCCCCCCTTTTTTTATAACGCGCAAATTCGAAGTGAGCGCGTACTTTTCCCTTTTAAACATGTTAAATGGCGCCCCCTCTGGATGGAAACGCAGTGTACGATCCCTTCAGCGAACAATCGTACTTACTCGCGCACGTTCATACATGGCGTTGCAATATGCGCACATATACACGATGTGTAAAAACGCAATGCGCATCTCTTATTCGTACGCTTTAACGCAAGCAGCACTTTTTCTGCCCCCTTATGCGCATGCATTCCACACATTTTAAAGGAAGTTAAGAGAATTTTATTTTTACACCTTTTTTATTTTTTTTTATTTTCCCACCCATTCGTGTACTGCAGCAATTCTTTCGAAAAATGTATCCACAGATTTTTTTTTTTTTATGACATATGCACAATAGCACGTGTAGCAGTGTAGATAACGGAACACGTACGTGTCGCCTGCAGTGAGCACACATTGGACAGCGAAGAGTGAAGGGCGAACATCGGATGACTTTTGCCTTTTAAAATGTCACAATGTGCCCCAACGGGTGTGTGTGTCTGCATGTGTGTATCTCCCCACCTACGTATGCATGTATACTCAGTGATACAAATGTACACACTTTCTAGCTTGCGAAAACCAAGAGAGGAGACCGCACCTTTATTTTATTTTTTTTTCTCTCCCTCGCCACTTCTCAAAATTGTGCATTATTAAGTACAAAGGGAAAAAAAAATGTGCAGCGAGTATACATGATTTCGTAAAAGGCCACAGCGATCGGGTACGACAACTGTATGCATACGTGCTGATTTACCCTGTGCACACGCAAATATATACGCGTGAATGCACCTAAAATTCTCCGCGCCGTTACGAGAAAAGGAGTTTCCACCCCAATTGACGCAGCTACCGTAACGATCTACGTGACCAGTACTGTCCTAACAAGCCGCTCCATCACCGTCTGCATCACCCACCAGTAACTTTAAAATCATGAATTAATATAAAATGATAATTAAGGTCAACTCGGCTCAAACTTTGGAGGTAAGACTGCAACAGAAGGAAAAGGGAACAGCACCCCCTCGGGACGCTCCCCATTTCTTATGCACACGTGTACGTAAGTAAATGCATAAGTGGGTATTTTCCACGTGACTTCACATCGAACATTATTGCTTGGATGCAAATATGGGATGTCTTTTTCGAGAAAGAGGCGACAAAGAAAGAGAGAACTGGCCATGGGGGGGCCACCTGTCCATATGGCCACAAGCGCAAGAGTATACCTATAGATATATGCTTCCCTGTGCACTCACCTACATGCCTACTGGCGTACATGCTGACTCATGTGAATTCTAACCCATGTGAATAGACAAACGAATATTCATCCCCTTTGTGCCTTTCCCCAGAATGCAGATTCCAAGCAGGTTCAAAATGGAAATGCGTGCAAAGATGAGAAATGTGTAAGAATATACGCCGACGGTTAGAAAAAAAAATAGCAGTAAAGTAAATCCCATTGTTACAGAGTGATAGCGTAATAGCATCACTCGAAATGCTGATATCAACAGGGTGAAGCCAAGGAAGTTGGCCACCACCGTTACCCCTCCACTCACAGCTAAAAGGCGTGAAACGTGAATGAGGATCCCACAATTCTAAATCCTAAACCTGAATCTCAAACCTGAATCCTAAACGATAAATTCAAACACGAAACCAAACTAACCGCGTCTTTTTCTGCTTCCTTCTTAGGAATATACGACCTCCTGCACTTAGGCCACATGCGGCAATTAAAGCAAGCGAAGCAAATGGAAAAGGAAGTGACGCTCATCGTAGGGGTTTGCAGTGATATGGACACAAGAAAATTTAAAGGACAGATTGTGCAAACATTAGAAGAGAGAACGGAAACCTTGAAACACATTCGGTGGGTGGATGAAATAATTTCTCCATGCCCTTGGGTGATAACTCCCGAGTTCATGGAGGAGCACAAAATAGATTTTGTAGCGCATGACGATATTCCCTATGCTAATAATCAAAAGAAGAAGAAGAAAAAAAAAAGCAAATCGATCAGTTTTGAAGAACCAGGTAATGATGTCTATGCGTGGTTAAAGCGGGCAGGAAAATTCAAGGCTACGCAGAGGACAGAAGGAATATCCACCACGGACATCATCGTGAGAATTTTAAAAAATTATGAAGATTATATTGAGCGATCGTTACAGAGGGGTATACACCCAAACGAACTAAACATTGGCGTCACAAAGGCACAGTCAATTAAGATGAAAAAGAATCTAATAAGGTGGAGTGAGAAAGTCACGGACGAGTTGACTAAAGTAACCCTGACGGATAAACCCCTCGGTACCGACTTCGACCAGGGAATCGACATAATAAGAGACAAGGTGCATGGATTATTCAAACTGTGGAGACAGCATTCGAAAAAGCTTCTAAAAGATTTTGCAAAATCATTCGATCCCATGTTTATAATTATTCGAAAAAGAAATAAAAAAGACAACCTCTCGGCGATGTACTTGTCCGATTCCAACTTTTTTCTGAGGACTGTCAAAGAGAATTTAAAGAAAAGAAACAGTTTAAGTAACACTATAGACAACATTGATGAATATTACTACTCGGCTGATGAGGATGATGACAGTAGCAGGGTAGCCAACGCCTTGGGGATAATTAGCAGAGTTGCCAATGAGTCTTATAATAATAATAACGATATAGATAATTATGAAACGTGTTTTGAGTTGGAGGCTTCTTTGAAGGAACGACGCCGGTGGGGAGGCCCCGTTGGGAGCAACGCCAGAAGTAAACACACACGCGATGATAATAATCCCAAGTTAGGCCCAGACGAACTGCTATCAGTTTGCAGTGAAACAGGAAGGAATAACGGCCCTCCGTCAAACCATTCCAATGGGAGCCCAAATGAGCAGCCAATAAACACAAGCAGTATAAACAGAAAAAGCGATTCCCATTTGTACAATAAGAAGACGTACCATGATGTAATTGATGAAGGGCATCTCCCCATGGGGGAAATAATCAACGAGGGTGTGTTGGAAAAGAATTTCAACGAGATGGCCTCTTGCAGAGAACACAAAAGTAGCAATTACCATAAGGACGAATATAACAGCTGCTCAGATGAGCAATCTAGAGATAGCAAGTGTAGTCACATGAAAATAAAAAGAAGGAGTAACTCCAGTAAGAATAACTTATCAAATGTGAACAAAATGGAAGATTCTGCAGAGGGAAGTCATTTTAGCTGCAGCGAAGGAGGCAGTAGCCGCAGTAACAGCAGTAGTTATAGCAGCGCCAGTGGTGGAACGGGCCACTCTCCAGAAACCAGTGACGCCTCGGAATGTCCCAAAAGGAAGGACAAACGGGGCGTTGTTACCGGGGAGGGGAACCGCCAAGGCGATGACCCCCAGGGAGTGAACAAATCGAGTCAGGGAAAAACGGAAGAAGCTGACCAAACAGACGAAGTGGACGAAGCGACCGAAGCTAACGAAGCGGGCAAGACAATCCCAAAGGAAAAGAAAAAAATTGTAATTTATGCAGACGGAGTGTACGACATGCTGCACCTTGGGCACATGAAGCAACTGGAGCAAGCGAAGAAGATGTTCGAAAATACAATCCTCATAGTAGGTGTGACTGGCGACAATGAGACGAAGCTCATCAAAGGACAGATTGTGCAAACAATGGAAGAGAGAACTGAAACGTTGAGGCACGTCAGATGGGTAGACGAAATAGTAGCTCCTTGCCCTTGGGTGATAACCCCCGAGTTTATGGAGGAGCACAAAATTGACTTTGTCGCGCATGACGATATTCCCTACGCGAATAATCAAAAGAAGAAGAAAAAAAAAAAAAACAAATCGATCAGTTTTGAAGAATCTAGTGATGATATATACGCGTGGCTGAAGAGAGCCGGGAAGTTCAAACCTACGAAGCGGACAGAAGGAGTATCCACCACGGATCTCATCGTAAGAATTTTAAAAAATTATGAAGATTATATTGAGCGTTCGTTACAAAGGGGTATCCATCCCAACGAACTCAACATCGGTGTCACAAAGGCACAGTCAATTAAGATGAAAAAGAACCTCATCAGGTGGGGAGAAAAAGTCACAGACGAGTTAACCAAAGTCACCCTTACCGATAAACCCCTCGGTACCGACTTTGATCAAGGGATTGAAAACCTCCAAATAAAATTTAAAGAATTATTTAAAATATGGAAAAATGCATCTAACAAATTAATCAATGATTTTACAAGCAAACTTGACACCATGTCGTATTTGTCTTCCCTCCAGAACTTCGTCGACAATGAGTACGAGCTGTACGACTCTGCTAGCAGCGTCTGCGACGAAGAAACCAACAGTTGAGGGGAATGAAGGGGAGGGAGGCAACTCGTTTGAAGAATCGACCCGTTCGATAACGCGTTTGAAGGTTCTCACCTTTCCGTATATGTTGTCCCTTTATGTATAATCGTTTGAGCGGCTTTCAATTTTTTTTTTTTTTTTTTAACGATGCGTTTATTTTCGTGTCACATCGTGTCCCCTTGGGTCGCCCACCGCAGCGCCGACACACTTCCACTTTGATGTTTGCCTCTTATTTTTATGTGTATAATTAGACCCCCTCCCCCGCCTCTTTTCTCCTCTTTTTCGTTCTTCACCTTTTGAAGCAAATAATACAAATCAGCATTGCGTCTCTGTGTGTGTGTGTGGTTCGTTGGGTGCCCCCTTTGTGTGCATAGCAGTGTCCATGTTTGCGCCATTCGATCTGGCTAGCTATGCGATGTTGTGCCATCCAATGCCACTCTATGCCGCCCAGTGTCACACTATTCCACCTGATCATGTATTCCCATTTGTGCCCCTTTTTTTTTAAATTCCTTATAAAGAAAGCAAAATTAATCAATCCCATAAAACATAATTGTGTTTACATATCATTTGACTCCTTCCAAAAAATCAGTAAAATGACGAGCCATGTGATATGTGCATCCGCATCGTGTGTGCAAGCACGTCCACTTTTTTTTCTTCTTTTTTTAACCCACGCTACATAAATTGCAAAGTATTTAAATCTTTTAAATGTGCCCCCCCAGAAATGACAAGCTGGGGAGAGGTTTTCTGCAACTGTCCCACAGAAGCGGAGATGTGCAGATATAGAGAGGCAGAGCAGAGAAAGGAGTGGAGTGCTATCCTCTGCTTCTTCATTTTAGTGAACAGAAGGGCGGTGTAGAAATAGGGGGAGCCACAAGTTAGCGGAGTATGTTACCTATCAAACATGCGCACACCTCGTTGTGGGAGTCGCTTTTTAACTTTTCCTCTTCTGCGAACGGAAATTTTTTTTTTTTTCTTGCACTTCCGTTTGGGAAATTCATGGGGGGTGTATATACATGCGAAAGCGCTTGTCTATTTCTCCCTCTCCCTGCTCATGCCCAGTTGTATAGCAATTCGTTCAGACGCTTAGATAACTTTCGAACGGGCGACATAAACTCAGGTGTTGTTCTTTTCCACTCTGCACAGACACACACTTCATCCAGCTCACGTGTGTGGCAAAAAAAAAAAAATCACATCCACCGTTTGCTGTTTATACACATGAAAAGTGTCACCCCACACACATCTGTGGAGTGGGCATAACAGTGCGGGGCCTTTTTGACCCACTTGTCAATTTTGTTTCATAGAAACGTTGAGAATTCGCTTCCTCAGTAACTTGGCGATATGCTCGTTAAGACATCTACGGTTTGTCCGTTAACACCTCGACGGTTTTCATTTGTCATAACTTCACAATTTGTTCTGTTGTCGTCCTCCCTCTACTGTGTCCTGTACGTTTCCTGCGCAGAATGAAAGCCGTCGCGGCGGTCACTATCATCGCTTTGCTGTTCATACAGAGCGCTAAGGTATCCGCCTTGAGAAATGTCAAGGGGGAATTAGCTTGGTTAGCCAGGACCCCCGATGAACGTATCCTAACGAATAGGATACAAAATTACAAGAACGAGGTGGAGGCACAGGTAAGGAGAAGCCAGGTTGGGAGAACCCAGGGAGTCTGTGTCTCCCCCGCGGTGCATCCCATGGAGGTTCACTTAAACGAGTTTTTGCTTTTTTCCCCAAGTGTGTTCCTATCAGTGTGTGCCCCTATCAGTGTGTGCCCCTATCAGTGTGTACCCCTATCGGTATATGCCCCTATCGGTATATGCCCCTATCCGTGTGTGCCTCTCCATTGATAAGACTACCTCAAAAAAAGGCAAACGCGTGGCCCCCTCCAAACAGGTCCTAGACTTGAAGCAAAATGAGAAGCTCACGAATGAGGTAGATTATCAGCTAAACGAGCTGATTGACGTCATCCGTCTCGTGGGAGACACACAAGAACAGCAGAGACGGGAACTGCACAATTTGTCCACCTCATTGGAAGTAACGAAAGATGCGCTCATGAAAATGTTAAGTGAATACGAAAATAGAATCGACCAATTAGAGTACATCATTATGGAGACCAAAAAATATGACCCATATAAGGAAAGGTTTAATTATCCTATATCGAAATACTGGCTGCAAGTGGACTTTCTTAACGTTAAATCTCTATGGAAGTATCAGAAAAGAAAGCATTTCACTTTAATAGTACAGCCCATTGAAATGACAAATGTGAAGTTCCCATCATCAATTCTGCTGCTAAGACATCACATAATTGTTGAGGGGTTCATCAATGTCGAGGTGCTCCAAAAGGCTTCTTCCCTCGAACCCAAAATAAACCAGTCAGCTTCTGGTATCGTTTTCGATTTTGTAGATGCTCACAATTTTAGATTCGTCCAGTTATCCTTCCTGAATAACCAGGCTGTTCTCTCCGTGGAAGAGGTAAACAGCTCCTTGCACAGCAAGTAAGTGCCAATCACCGGTAGAAATTGTATACCGCTCATGGGACCGCCTCCCATTTTGATCGTCTATTGCGGTTTGGCCATTTTCTGGTGAGGATCCTACCCTCCCCTGTATGCACTCACATTAACCATTTGGTATATTCTCTCTTTTTTTCTCCATGGCCGCATCTTTGAAGAATACTTTCTAAGGGAGTGGAGACACACGGCAAAGACTTCAACGCCCTGACGTGCGAATTTGTGTCTGGAAAAATGAACGTCTTCTTAAACTACAAAAAGGTAATCGAGATGGATTTCGCCGATAGAGGGATAAGCGGAAACGGTGGAGGATACCCTACCATACGTGGCGATGGACGCTCTGGAAGTCCTGCGAACCGGTCGGTGGGCCTCTTTACCAAAATCGGGACCGCAGAATTTAGAAACTTCCTGACGGGTACCCTCCAGTTCGAACATCTCATAAATCATACCCTGGTAATCCCAGACAAGAAAGACATCTCCACAGTATCTGTGACCAATTCTTATCGATTCTCCAATAGGGAGAGTAAAGATGACCTCAGTGTGTACAGCATACCTTATAGCAGCAAAGATTACGACGATTATAAGGAGGAAGAAGTAACCGATGATGTTTATCCTACCCCAGAATCGAATTCGCATTATGATGATGTGAACATGTCGGGACATGCCAAGGGGGGGATCATCATCCCTTCTGGTTCCCTCAATGAACTGACGCACAACTCCTGTGAAGAGTACAGAAGAAAAGAATTTAACCTAACCGAATGGATAAGTGATAGTAGAGGGACCTCCACCAACTGGAAAGTGGTATCCCAGTTTGGTATTAAAAGAATAATATTTCGCAACAACTACAAATCTGCAGTGGTCAATTCAGCATTGATTTATAAGAAGAACGTATGCAATTCGATCAGTATATCATCCTACATTAAAGTCGAGAACGACACAGAAGCGGGACTCCTCTTCAGATATGACAACAGGGACAACATGTACACATTAACAATTTCGAGTAGTAATAGAGAAATCATTTTGAAGAAAAAAAAAAATAATATCGAATCGGTCATAAAAAGTGCCTACGTAAAAAGCATCAATTCGTTTCAAAGGCATCATTTACTGATCCGTGACACGGGCGAACGGGGATACCTCAGCGTATCCCTCGATGGTGTCAAATTGTTTTCTCTCCGCCGGGAGAATTATTTCAGCTCTGGAAGAGTCGGGTTTTTTGTTGAGCACGGCCATGCCGCGTTCGACACGTTGATGGTTGAGCAGCTCAAAGAGGACTTGGAGAAAAATGACTCCACTTTGGAATAAGCACATCGAAAAAAAAAAAGGGGAGTACTCCCAACATCGGGGTAGAACTCCCAACATCTGGGTACACCCTACTCACCCTTCATTCCTCCCGCGAGCAGCCAAGGATGTGCCGCTCCAAATTTTGTGATGAACATGTCTATTACACCGACACAGAATGCGAGTTGCTTGTTTTGTTCTCAACTGGGGGGACACTTCATCCATTCCGTTCACAATTTGTTAAGAGGAACTCTTCCCCACATTGCATCTTCACTGACTGCCCGATTTTACTCTCCCTTTGGGATCTTTCACTCTCTTCCACCCCCGTTCATATTACGTCACAACTCAGTCATAACTGGAATGGGAACAAGGGTTTTCCCCAAATCGTCTTCTCCACTTGCTCCCTTTTCCTCATTAACCTTCTTAACAAAATGAAACATACTAAACGCGAATTTGACTAGGTAGAGCATCAGTGAAAGCAACAACTTGATGATCTGCAAAAAGGGGAAGGGTCATCATTCACCATTTTGTTTCTCTGTGGTTAAGCGTGTTTTACGCCACTTCACTTGTGGTAAACGCTCGGACGATCGCCGTCCCTGCGAGGGTGTCACTGTCTTTATTACCGTTATGAGGGCCCAGATCACGCCCAGCCTGCGCATGATAATATAGGAGCACACACTCAGAAAGAAGAAAAAAGAATACCACACATATCGCGTGTCGTTTTGGGCCCTGACAAAAGGGGGTGGATGAGATGCAAATAGAACGTGAAAAATGGGCCTACTTAGACGGAAAAAAAAAAAAAAAGTGCACACACGGGAAACAAATGAATATGTGTTGGTATATTTTCCCGACATGGAATTTATCCATCTCACATTAAAAAAACGTTGTTACTTTTTTTTTAAAGAAAATAGCAGCTGCGTGCTGGATTTTATTTTCGACTCGAACACTGCCAAGGGAGGTAGGAAAAAAAAGAAGAGGCCACATGTTTAACGTTGTTTTAACATCGCGTGCATGTGTAACATCCCTTCGCACCTTTATCACAAATGGGTATCTTTGTATGCACGTCTGTTTTTTTTCTCTTTTTTTTTTCTTTTTTTTTTTCCTGTGGTATTATTACTGTTAAATATTTGATCCTGCTTCCTCAATTTCTGGGACGATTCGAGTAATTCCGATCTGACACTCTTCATTCTGTTAATTTCGTCAATCATCATTTGCTTCGTGTCTTTTAAATTTGCATCCGTTTGTTTTTTTTCTGCTGACTTTGAGAATGTCCCATGGTCGTCACTATAAGGGATGGGATGAGAGATAAATGCAGCAAAAGAACTCCTTTTGCAGTTATGTACCGTTGGATTAGTACCATATGGGATACATAGACATCGGTGCTGCCTCTCTAAGTGCATACGTTGACTCTAAAATAGAGTAGGAGCTGATTTATCCCTACGAAGAGACATGCCCTGTACCTTTTACGCTTGGTGAGAAATTCATTCATGCATAGGCGGTGGTAGTCCTTCCCATTATTGTTCCACCAGATCCTCAGCTTGTTTCTATACCTTGGGGGGGAGGGGTGCGCATGGTACACAAATGGGGTGAGCGAGGAGAAGGAGTTGACCGATACGTTCGGCTCTTCCATAAAATAAAAGAAATAATCGCTTCGATTTTAGTTTCGCTTCTGGTTTAGCTTCTCGCTTCGCTTCTAATTTCCCCTCGCCTTACCTTTCCACATTCCCTTGGTGATACTCCAACTGCTGCTTGACGTCCTCCACGTCCTCATCGGACACCTCGGCGCAGAGGATCTTGTCTTTGCATTCCGAAGCTAGGCTGGAGTAGTGGACAATTCTCTTCGCGACTTTTCCTCGAAACTGGGAGCAGTGTGTGTGGGGGGGAAGCGCGCATGTAGAGAGGTGGAAATATATACTCAGCGGGAGCCTTCGTGTAGAGAGGTGCAAAATATACGCAGGGGGAGCCCAGACAGTGTTAGTCCGCACGTAGGTGAAGTATAATGCGCCGCTGCAGTGCTCCAAATTTTGCCATTGCCCCATTCGGTTAAGATCTCAGGAGGGGCACGAACGAATGCACACTTTCGGCCCCATCAAAGCGTGTATGCACAGGGGGGCCTCCCTAATGCAGATGTGTTTGACGGGACCTCCTGCATACATGGGGGGGACTTGAAAAAGGCGGTTAGTCTACTCTCCACTGGGCTACCATTGTGTAGTGCATTCCCTGATTTGCCCCCTCCCCCGTCCATACAACCGAATGCGCAAAAGCTACACAGAGTCACTTGCAATGAGGACGTACCAACAAAAAGGCGTCATGACTATTTAGATCATCCTCCGATAAAAATAAATTCTTCAAACTGTCGTTAATGAATTTCATGTGATTTATCATGGAGCTGATTTTCCTCCAGGTTTCTACATTTTCGTTTTTTTTCCTCAAGTTTGGTAAAAAAGGTTTTTTCATTTTTTTTTTTATTCGTAAAGGAATAAAATGGGAAAGGAATACTAAAAAAGAGTTGGAAGGTGGGGACAGCACAAGGAAGTACTACCCCGTGCTATGGCCAGTACTACTTTGTATGCAGCTTCACCCAGCAGCGAATTTGCCTTACCCAACGGCGAATTTCCCTTTCCCCATTTTGTTGCCTATGTGGTACCTATTACGAACGTTCGGCTGGTCAGTAGCCGTGTGCCCCTCAAGCGCTTGCGCTCATCTATGAATTCATACAGTTATGCAATTCAGTGTAGTCACTTAAAATTGCGATTAGAGGCCGAACGCTGTTATGTTCATATGGCGTACGGGGGGACAGATGGTCTGAAATGATTTGTAGACGCACTTATGGGGCTTGCCTCCTTTTTTATCGCGACCATGTGCATTGTTCTTTTCGCACAACTAGTTTTGTTCGCAGGGAAGCGGTGTTAAGCAGTGATGCCCCCCCATTTTTTAGTGCAGCTGTAAATGTAAAAAAAAAGCTTCTTACCGTTGAAAAGCGTTTGAAAAAAAGGCGGTTTACTCCTATCGAAAAAAAAAATACGAACAGCTCGATTATACTCTCTGGAGCGTTCATCTTAAGGAGGAGCACTTATAGCTTGACCACTTCAAAACAGATCTGCCCTAACGGCACAGAGAACGAATTGACCTACTCAATAATTCACGGTCATCATTTAAAAAAAATTTCGGGTAGGTTAAAAACAGTTCAGTAGAAGGGGTTACAAAAACGATGGGGGGAAACGCAAAACGTTTGCTCTTTGAGAGGTGCAACACCTGAGATAGCAGCAAATCCTACTGGTGATGGCACGAAAAGATACGACCCACACGGTCGCACATGTGGTGGGTGCCCCTTTATGGGACATCAACACCTTTTTTTTTTTAGCCACTCTAATATATGCCCATGGTCAATCTTAAAATTGAGAGGGGGGTTCAAATCGATGCGCAAATAAAAGCGTCATATGTAGTGGCCTTTTCTCCCCGTGAGGACACCAATAATAGGAAGATGTTATCGTTCTGAGTTGCACTCGTCCCGCTGTGTCAGAGTGCGACTCCGTCTCAAAAAAAAAAAAAAAAATCGTTACAGAAGAACAGGGAATAACGCACACGTGGCAAATAACACGGGGAATATTTTACAGTGGGGACGAGGAAAAAGGAATCACCGGGTCGTTTGCAAATTCTTCACTGGGATATTTTCTCCACGTTGGTTCTTTTCACATGGGTTAGGCAAGCCCTGTGGGTACGTACCATATCAGAACACACAAAAACGAGCTCGTCTTCCACGGGCGCATAAAAAAACTGACACTACTTGTTATGCGTGTTGATGTGCAGTACGTCAGCTGGGTCAGGCACGGTGGTGTCGACCCCCTCCTCCTCTGGCTTATCACTCGGCTCCACCATGTCGACTGCCTCTCGCGCCTCTCCCCCTTCTTGCACCTCTCGAGCTTCTCGCGCTTCTTCCACCTCTTCCGCCTTGTCCATCTTTTCCCCCTCCTGGGGAAGCTGCACCGGTACCGCAAAGCTGGACGCGCCCTGAGGCACACTTGTCCCAGTTTCCCTTTTCTTGCTCTTAAAATTAAGATTATCAAAATTAAGCAAATTTTCGAGGTAAAATAAAATCCGTTTCTGTATACAGGCATATTTGCTCAAAAAGAAAAAGCTGTTTCCCCTATTGACCTGTGGGTTGACCAAATCATCAAATTGAAAGAGCGGTTTGTTGTAACTTGCCTCCTCAGTGCTGTGAACCGAGTCGGTATTTTCATTTTTATTGTTGGGATCTCCATTGCTTATATGTTTGGATTCATTCTGTGCACTCTCGACCTTATCATTAGAAGGACTCATCATTGCGTAAGGTGATTCATCGTCATAGGGCTTTATTTTCCCATTCGATGCTTCATGCATATTCCTGTTGTACTTTCCACACGGGGAGCTACTCCCTATTAACTCTGCTTCCCCTTTGTTCCACATGAAATTAAAAAATCTTCTGCCTTCGGTTTGGTTGTTATGGTTGGAGGGGTAATCAATAGAGTTATAACCTCCTTCCACAGACACCCTGGTGGTAGCGTTCGCATATCTGTGCGATTCGGCTACCTCGTCTTCCATTGCTTGGGGGGAATAAGCATTGATCGGGTCGTACGAGGTGCTCGAATCGACATTTTTGGACTCTCTTTTTCTTTTCCTCTTTTTTTTTTCCCTTTTCATTTTTTCGTACTTCTCGAGGGAGATGCCTCGGTCGTTTGGGTCTCCCAACGCAGATGTGCCTATCGCAGCGGTACCAATCCCTGCCGTGGCAATCCCTTCGGTGGTAATCCCCGCGGTGGCAACCCCTGCGGCGTCCATCTCCGCTGCGCCCCCGCCGTCATCCCCTGGCTGCTGCTCCCCATTTGTCTTATCGTTAAAGAAGTTGGAGTCCCAATTTTTAATGTCGGCACTTTTGATGCCCAACTTGATGGCTATATGTTTCTGCGTTCCAGAGATATCGTTGCACAAGTCCTCCTCGAAATTTTTTTTTAAATTTGTAGAGGCGTCCACGAAATCGTTAAAGGTGTATGATAGGTCGCAGCAATTTAGGTCATCGTTATTCATATCGCTGACGAACTTTCGGTCTATCCATATTCTGTTGTTTCTCCCTCGCCTCTTAACCAGGATCACATTTTTGTATTCATTTCGATTTATTTTGACCACGTTCATTTGTTCGCATAGCCCTTGGCTCTTTGCTCTTTTGTTGATTTTTCTGCTAACGATGGAGTCGCTGTGGATGTTGGCGCAGGATCGGCTGTGCGCGTGGTGTGAGTGTTGTGCGTGGTGAGAGTGGCGTGAGTGATGACGCTTCAAGTGATGACCCTTTCTGTGATGGCTCCTGTCATGATGACGTTTCTCATGATGGCTGCCTGCGTTCGCACTGCCGTACAAGCTCTTATAATATTTGTCCTTCTTCAACTTTCTGTAAATCTTCTCCATTTTGTAGTCTTTAAAGTAATTCCACATGGGGCAGACATACGTCTTGTCCTTTATTTCATTTTTTCTCTGATCAAAAAGGATGGAATTCAACTGTTGTAGGAGTAATTTCTTCTCATCCCTTTGTTTCATTTTGCGTAATATTCGATCCAGTCGTCGAAAATCTTCTATAAGTTCTTGCATCTTCAAAATAATCTCGCTGTTCTTCTTCTTGTGTTTCCTCAGTGTCATTTTTTCTTTCACTCTCGATCTGAACACTGAATAGTGTGGCAAAATATTCTGGGAGTTATTCCAAAACATACGAAGCAGTGGTCTTCCCAATCTTTTCCGTTTATTCTTCCAGTAGGTATGTATATCCTGTATAACGTTACTCTTAAGATTAATTCTCAAATCAGATGCAGCTTTTGTTGCATCGTCCAAATTTATTTCTTCTTTATTTTCTGAGTACCCTGTTAGCTTTTCAAACTTATCGATTAGCTTACAGAAATCTTCATCATTCACTTGGATGTTTATGGACGAGTTAAGACTTTGGAGAAACTGTTCGTCTTCTTTTAACAAATCGTAGTGGATAATCGATCCATCTGTTAACTTGATCCCTGTCACTTGGTCTTTGTAAAGTTCGTATCTGATATAGTGGGAGGGCTTCTCGAATATTTTTAATTTACTTGTATACGTTTCATCATCTTCACATATTTTAAATCTTGGAATGACAATATTTTTTTTTTTTTTTTTTTCCGTCTTTTGTTCGCTACTTTCCAGTGCTGCTTTCAATTCGTTTACTTCTTCCTCCGTCGGATTCTCCTTCTTGATTAACTTCTTGATGTCTTCATTGGACTTCACGACCAGCAGCTTCTTATTCAGGAGGATGGGTTTGATCTTGGCGTTTTTCATTGGCTGGCTACCCGGTATTCCCTTCGTCATGATTGCTGCTTCGGGAGAAATTGGTGCACGCTGGGAGGGGTACAACAATCTGCGACCGCTTCGTAGAACAGGAATTCTTCTTTCACGCTGATGGGGGACGGAGGGGGCGGCCTCCCCCCCTTGGCTGTTCCAGTGCACACAAGCACTTAGCTAACTATGCTCTATGCAGTGCCTCCACTATTCTTTTGCACATTTACTAATTAACTTTCTCCCTCCCCTTCTACGCACCAATGAGAAACCTGGTAGAGTGGTGGACAAATCTGTTTGGGCTTTTCAAAAATTGTTGCAATTTTTTTTTTCCAAACGGGAACGTGATTCCCATGTGCTACTTGGGTCTGTCCTTGCTGCCACGCCCCTTGATCAAGGAACTCTTCTTCCTGCGCGTGTACAGAATGTGGGTTGTCATTTCGGGGCAGAACTCTTGTGGCGGCCTTCGCGTTGTCGCGGAATTCGCTTTGTGGCACTCCCCTTTCTGTCTCAATAGCTTCCGTGTTGTAGCGATTCAGCAGTGCAGCGGCTGTTTACTCGATCAGGAGGTCAATCTGTAAATCGCCTAACCGGCTAACCGCCACGTGTCTGTGTCTTCTCGTCCGCGCAACCGGGTGACGGAAAAAACGTCGCGGCGTTATCAAATGACCGGGACTCCCCTTTAGGTGGGTGACTTCCCTTTTTCAAGAAATTAAACAAAATGGGTTATGAAAGCATTCGCGCGGAGGGAGTGAAATTAAAAATGCTCACTCTTAATGAATCTTTTTTTTTTTTTTCCCTTTATGTTTCTCCATATGGCCTATCGCAGCACTGCGCTATGAGGCCGGAGCGATGTCATATAAACTGGACCTTCAAAAGTTTGCATATATTCTGCTGTACGATATATTGCATATATGTGTGCACTTGCTGGGCGCGGCTCACATTTCGGCCTCAAGTGCTTTGCCTTTTCTCTTCCCATGTATGTATATAATATATATGCGCCGCATACGCAGTAATATGCAAGGCAAAAAAAGGCGAAAAGAAGGGGAAAAAAACGCGAAAAAGGAACTCTCACAATTCCTCCATCATTATGTTCATCAGATTGTTTTCTCTTAATTCTGTGACCCTTTTCTCATTGAGCAAATGTTACTCAAGTTGAGCCTACCCCACTTGGCAACTTCTCAATTTTGCGATTAGCAATCTTTTTTTTTTGTTTTTTTTGGTCAAGGCAGATATCATCATAGGCGGCTACGCTTCGGTGCGCTTGAAGCGACACCTTACGCGACGCCCAATGGGTACTGTTCTTTGTACATATAAATATTCACAATGCGGGGGAAAAGCATAACACTCCCATTTTGGTACTTTTTTTTCAATTATTAGAGAAAACGCCTCGTTGGGTAATTCCTTCACAAATGCGCTGCCAATTTGTTAGACTTCTTCTCTCATGCGAGAAGTTTTGTTTTTATTTTTTTAACGCGGGTTGCTCTGATCAAAGTGCCATTTTTTCCCCCCACCCTCGCAAAAAATAAGTTCACTCCCAGTGCGTACAAATAATTTATCGAGTCGCACGTACACATGTCCGTACAATGTAAATATTCGCGAAAACACACAACATTGTTCATGTTGAGAGAAGTATGGAACCATTTCAGGAGTTTTCTTTTTCCATTTGTAAAGGCACTGAAAATGTTTTCCCCCCCCTTCGTAACTGCACATGATATTGCTTCTTACTTACGTTGTTCTTCCTGCGTAGCAGGTAATGCGGAGTGAACATTTTTGACTGGACGCCGAGAGCACACACATGTAGGCTTGCATATGTGTACCTATCCCGGCCAACGGAAGAGAAAAGGGTGGGCCGTCAATTCCTTTGCGTCATTTCAGACCGTTTCTTACACGAACATATGGTAGGATCGAAGTGTTCTCACTTCCTAACAGGGACAAGTATATATACATGCATACACATGTGCAAGTTTGTACGGTTGTACGTAAAAACACAAAATTGTCGTTCCTCCTTCGCGACATTTTAAAGGTAAGATAGCGTTTTGGGTAAGCCTACTTCCCGCAGTGTCCTCGCCACCCAGGCAATACAGAGATTATGTCATTTGGCGATTGTACCTGTGAAGCGAATCATATGGGGTGAACAGAAAGAAACACCGACTTTTTTTTTTCCTTTTTTTTTTTTGGTAAATCTCCCAAAGTGTGCATCACCCAATGGGTCATATGGGGTAAAAAAAAAAAAGAAAAAAAATATATATATATATTATCCCGCTTATAAATCTCTACTTGGATAACCCCGACGTAGTGCTTCTTAAAAAATATATGTGCATAAATCGCAGAGGTAACGGTTGCACCCCTTTAAAAGGTAGTTTCATCTGCCTTTTACCACGCTGCTCTGTTCCAATACAACATTTGTGCAAAAGGGAAAACAGGTGCGATTCGTCAAACGGCGAAATTTGGAAAAGTAATCACCTTTGTAATGTAACCGATGTGGGTGGTAACCTCTCTCCACTTTGTGCATGTCATTTTTATTAGCAAATGTAATGGATTCCCCAAGAGGTGTTCAGTGGGAGGGGCATCGGAATGGATCTTTTGCTGGAATACTATACCATGTTTACCTCTACGCTGGTGCGTGCTTCGTTTCGCAAAAGTGGGGGATAAGACCCCACTTAAGTATGTGCCTCCTAACGCTTTGTCTCATGGTAGCCAAGAATGGAAGCAATGGCATAGATATTCATCCGTACGGATGTGCGTATATATGTACAAATGCACTTACGTGTGCGTAGGATTTAAGCGGAAAACCTCACTGCGAAACGTCAGTGGAAGCGAACTGTACATCGAGAGGTATGTTGCACAGAAAAGGGGGGTGGGGAGGGTTTACAAGAATCGCTCATGTTCGCTTAGAAGAACCTGATGTTAAGAGTTCCTTTTTCTCCTATTTTCTTATCCAGTGGAATCCCTCTTTTGTTCATTCCCAAGTGGTACTTATTGTAAGTATACTCTCCCCCGTTTCTCATTTTCGCAACAGAGTGGGCAACTCGTTTTATGGCTAACCTGGGCACATTGCTATGCGCTACAATTAATTTTTCTTTTTTCCGGCAAAAACCTCCCACAATCGCTGCTCCTTGCTTGGCTGCTATATCCTTGCCATATTGTTAGAACCTCCATTTTTGACTTCCCCTTTTAACCAGCACGTTTAAATTGATGTCACTTCCACAGAGCAGTGCATGTCGCGCTGAACTTGCGGTGGAAAAATGGTGCAGTGGCGAACAATATGGTGAAAATATAACCAAAAGAAAGAAAAAAAAAAGAAAAAAAAAAGCGAAGGCACATAATTTTATCCCCCAAGGAGCAGTTGTTAGTGGGCCCGCTTGATTCCCGCGCGTCGTTCGAAAAAAAAAAGAAGCATACATAAATAAAATACATACACGTATAAGTACATGCGTGCATACGTTTTACTGAAATAGTCATGCGGTGGAATTCCCCTCGCTATGAGCTTACTCCTATGTCGCACGCGTAGTTGCACGGATAGTCTGGTAGAGATGATCAGAGGCCAGCACTTTGGGGAAAGTCTAAATGAACAGTCCCAACGGGTGTCCCTAGTGTACACTCACATCGCACGTGCAGGTAGCATACATACGTGTAGCCATGGCAAAGAAAGCGAGAAAGAAGAACCCAGATGACGAGGCTCCCACGGGGAAGAAGCGGGGGGGGAAGAAAAAGGAGAGTTACTCGGAGGAGGTGAAGGAAATGGACAGAAACGATGAGGGGGAGGAAGAAGACCAAGCTGGAGAAGCGAACCAGACAATCGCGACAGAGGCTACCACTGTGACAAACGCGACAAAGGCAATCAGTGTGACAAACTCGACCAGTGTGACGAGTTTCACGGGGGAGGCGCGCCTCGTTCCGCGGACCGCGGGCAGGGGCAGGGTGTGCCCGTACCTGCGTACCATCAACAGAAACCTGCTTGACTTTGATTTCGAAAAGTTGTGCAGCATCAGCATGTCCAACCTGCACGTATACGCATGCCTAGTCTGCGGAGTGTACTTCCAAGGAATAGGAAAAGGAACCTACGCATACACACACGCATTGGAGAAGAACCATTATGTCTTCATCAATCTGGAGACGTGCAAAACATGCTGCCTCCCAGAAAATTACGAAATCGAAGATGCATCTTTAAATGATATAAAATATTTCTTAAAACCAACGTATAGCATAGAGCAAGTAGAATACATCTGTCGTAATTCCATTTTGGGAAAATCGCTAGATGGTGCCGATTTTTTTCCTGGGTTTGTAGGACTCAACAATTTAAAACATACGGATTACTGCAATGTTATTATTCAGCTTGTGTGCAGCATCATTCCATTGAGAAATTTTTTTTTAGTATTCGAAAATAAGAAATATATGACGAAAAATATCATTTCCTCCTTATCTGAACTGATTAAAAAGATTTTTAACCCTCGAAATTTTAAGGGCGTTGTTTCCCCACATGAGTTTCTGCAAACAGTGGGCATTGAGTCCAAGAAGAGCTTCAAAATTGGCTCGAAAAACGATCCGCTCGACTTTTTTCTCTGGCTAATTAGTAAAATACATAGGTATGAGGAGAGGGCGCTACGAAAGGGTGTGAAGGGTAGGACGGGCAAGAAGAGGAAGATTGGTCAAAGGGGAGAAGACGCCAAAGGGGCAAATGGACCATCGGGCGGGAAAAATAGAGGGGAGGTACAAGAAGAAGAAGTTGAACAAAACGAAGAAGAAGAAGAAGAAGACGAAAAAAACGAAGAAGGCAAAATTAAACCTGGGCACCACCTCTCACAGTTGAACGCTATGTTGTCTTCGTCCAGCGAGTCGCACATGTCGGAAGAGGCCGACCCTGGCATCGATTCAGCAACGAAAAGGAAAAGAAAAAAAAAAAAAAAAAAAAAAAATGGAAGTACGACAAAGTAAACATTATCGACTACTGCTTTGATGGGGAGCTAATTATCAGAACGAAAAAAAAAAAAAAAAAAAAGTTCGGAAGGAGATGACAATATGAGCAGTGCCCATAATACAAAAAAGAGGGAAAAAAACGACACCTACAGTGAACGGAATACACGCGAAGATGGCAAATTTTCTCACCACATGGATCATCAAGGAGGGGAAGAGGATGACGTAAGCGATGGGGACAACGAAGACGATACAGATTTGGCTGATGGGGAACAATTGAACGAAAAAAAAAATTACGTAACGGAAAAAATTCCATTTCGAACTCTTTCCTTGAAGCTGCCGAACCCACCCATTTTTAAAAGCACAACAGAAAGCAACATCATACCACAGGTATCCATTTTCGAGCTGTTGACAAAATTTGATGGAGAAACGGAGTCCTTCTTAAATGAAAAATCGGAGCCAAGCACTTTAATCATTTCCAAGTTGCCCAAATATTTAGTCTTTACCATTAAGAGGTTTTCCAAAAACAATTTTTTTGTTGAAAAAAATGGAACCATTGTTAATTTTGTCATAAAAAACTTAGACATGAGAGATTATATACATGAAGATTATCTGGAGAAAAATCCTGTGACCAAGTACAACTTAATTGCTAACATTTTTCACAGCGGCTCTGTTAGCAGTGGCACTTACAAAATTCATGTCCTCAACCAGGCGTCGAATGAGTGGTATGAGATGGAGGACCTGCACGTGATTACCGTTTTGCCCCAGCTGGTTCTCCTACCCGAGTCCTGTGTGCAGTTGTATCAGCGCCAGGACGTGCAGCTCAACGGGGAGGTCCCCTGAGGTAGTGGCGGTTTGTAGTGGCGGTGTGTAGCTACTGTGTGTAGCTACTGTGTGTAACGGTGTGGCACGCAAAGCGTCGTCCTCTCCGTGTTACCGCTCAAAGTATTTCCCTGACGGTCGCTTTTCTCCAACTGTCCTTACCATAACTTAGCTCTTCCCGTCACACCCAACCCCATCGCATCCAGTTCATGTAAACACGTGTGTGGCGTAAGAGATGTAAGGATATCTTCCCACTCAGAAGTATCAACCTTTTGTAAACGCATGGACTTGTTAGTTGTTTTCCCCAGTTCGTGCGTCCCGAAGTTGCGCTCTTAGAAGTTAACACGGCGCACGGCTGAACTTTGCCAATTTTTTTTTTTTTTTTTTTTTGCACGTTTCGACGTTCATTTTGTTTCCGTTTTGTTTCCATTTTGTTTCCATTTTTTTCCCATTATGCTTCCATTTTGTTACCTTTATACTTCCATTTTGTTACCTTTATGCTTCCATTTTGTTACCTTTATGCTTCCATTTTTGGACCATTTTGTGTAAAGGGGAAGGTAAACATGTAAGAAAAGAAAAAACTCTTGTCGACCCCTCAAATTGTAAAACCCAGCAGCCAAGGTACTTGTTCCCAGGGGGTACCTCCTCCGCGGGCCAAGGAACGAGCGCGTAACTCTCTTATTGCCACGAAAGGGTGCCAGATTTTCATTGTCCAATGCACGTTTTCTCTCCCCCCAAAAGGAGGGAATAAAATGACACACTGCATACTGGGAATGCACAAAAATGTGCAGTGCAAATTAAAAGGGCATTTTTTTTTTCTTTTTCTGAGGGGGCATATTAAAATGAGTACAAAAAAAAAAAAAAAAGGAAAATCATGTCTTCGGTAAGATTATCAAATCGACAAGGAAACATTAAATCAAGTAAACATCCCTTGCGGGTAATTACACGCTCGTCCCAAGGGAAGCATCTTTAACTTTTGAGTACACGGAATAGTCACTTTTTCTTTCTCACTTTTTCCTTGATTTTTGCGTACCTATTTTGCCCTGCATTTACGCATTCAATTTGCGTTATCGTTCCATTTTTGAACGACTGCCTCGCGAATACATTTTTTGACCTACCCCTTTTTCACCTCACCTTAAAGCGTATTGAGCAACCCGATTCGATTAGCACAACTATTCATGCGGCATAAGGAAGATCGCTTCGAACAGCACGAGTGTGTATTCCTTCGCCACTCCAAAGACAAAGGAAAATCTGGGCCGTTTTTCTCCCTTTCTTCTTTACCCATTTAGCCATTTTTGTGGACCTCGCGTCAGTGAACGTAATTGCGCGAGGGGTATCCCCGGGTTGAGGCACGCAGAAGGAGAGAACGCACACCCCTAGTCCCCTCTGTCGCGCCCCCTCACATGGATGCCTAACGGATTAGCGGATTAGCGGCTTGACTCCTTAACTGCTTAACATATTAACTGCTTAACAGATTAATTGCTTAACAGATTAACCGCTTAACAGATTAACCGCTTAACAGATTAACGGCTTAACCCCTCCACCTATCTGAGCGCTCATCTCCTCAAAATGGGAACGCCGCGACGCCGACCCGGGCAGAACACCAGCCCCTATGCAATGAGCTCCTCGAACATTTTCGGGACGAACAACGAAATTTTCGGAAGCAACTTCCTGAACTCGCCCGTGTCCAGCAGGAGGACAAAAAATAGCAAGGGCAGCTTCCTCAACAGCATGCTGAACGAATCCAAGTACCTAAATCAGAGCAACACCGGGTCGCAGTTTATGAGGTATGGACACACACCTCTAGCGATCAGAAGAATCAAATGCGCAAGAGCCGACATAGGAGACGTGGGCAGGGAAGCCTTCATGGAAGACGTGGAATCAGGAAGACTACCCCATTTTATAGATTCCAACTTGGAGCAGATAAAAGAATTATTCAACCAATTCTTCGACGAATTTAATATAACAAATTATACCGACGTTCTGCAGTTCACAGATGAGGACAGAAGCATCACAGAGTATATCCTCCTTCACAGGGATAACCTAAAGGTCTATTTGGCGTACTATGGATGGAAGATGATAAAATTTATCGAGACGGGTCGACAGAACGAATGCAAACTGAACAACGAAGTGGAAGAAACGGATTCAGATGCTGTAAAAAATTTGGAGCACATAAAGTCATTCGAAGTGGACTTAACACATATTTACTTCTTTAACAAAAAATTGTACAAATTGATTGTAGAGTATCCATCCGATTGCATCAGCGAGATTGATAAGATTATAAGTGCTAAGTATAACTCTCTTTTGGCATTGGTTCTCGAGGGGGACACCACGTCCAATGCATCAGATAAATATTCCCTTTCGAACACGAAGCAGGATTACTGTAGAGTTCGATTCTTTAACAAGAAACATAAAGATACCCCCAGAAAGTTAGGACCAAATCATATAGAAACATTAGTATGTATAAAAGGAGTCATAATTCGATGCTCCAATATCATCCCTGAAATGACCATGGCTGCTTTCAAATGTACTTCCAAAAAAAGAATAGGAGTTAATAATTACGAGAAGTGCAATGAAGAAGTGTATGAGCATGTCATCCAAGGGGAAGTACAGGAACCGTTAAGCTGCACAAACTGCAATAATAAGAACACCTTCGAATTATGGCACAACAACTGCTGCTTCTCTTCAAAGCAGCTCATCAAATTGAGTGAAGTCACGGAACATTTGAAACAGGGAGAGACTCCTCAATCCATTTCTATCTATGCATATGATGACTTGATAGATTACACCAAACCAGGAGACACCGTCGAATTGACAGGAATATTGAAAGCATCTCCCGTCAGATTAAACCCCAGGTCTAGATGTTACAATAGTGTCCATAGAACCTACATCAACGTCATACACATTCGAAAGGAGAACAAACAGAAAATGAAACTGACGGAACAGAACGACACTGCTTCAGTTATTCTAAAAAGAAATGACGACGGAACGGTGGAGGAAAATTTCGAAAAATTAAATGAGCAAGGAAATCTACTCTTCACAACAGAAGTAATACAGAAAATGCAGAGACTTAGTACAGACCCTAATATATACCAGCGGCTAGTTGATTCTATAGCTCCATCGATTTATGGACGAGATGATATCAAGAAAGGCCTCCTTTGCCAACTTTTCGGTGGCAGCAAAACTACCGATAAATTTAAAAATAAATATCGATCCGAAATTCATATATTATTATGTGGAGATCCCTCTACAGCCAAATCACAACTTCTACATTATGTTCATAAGCTATCCCCAAGAGGCATCTACACAAGTGGCAAAGGTAGCAGCAGTGTCGGTCTCACTGCCTTCATTTCGAAAGATTCAGAGACAAAGGAATACATCCTCGAATCTGGTGCCGTTGTCCTCTCCGATAAAGGAATTTGCTGTATTGACGAGTTTGACAAAATGGACGACTCGGCTAGGGCAATCTTACACGAAGTCATGGAACAGCAAACAGTCACCATTGCCAAAGCAGGGATCGTTGCAACACTCAATGCTCGTACCTCCGTTCTTGCATCAGCTAATCCGATTAACAGTAGGTATGATAAGAACAAAGCTGTTGTGGAGAATATCAACTTACCACCATCCCTTTTTTCAAGATTCGATTTGATCTACCTCGTTATAGATCAGGCAAATGAGGAGGAAGATAAAAAGTTAGCCACAGTGTTGTGCAAAAACTTTTCCTACGGCGCCAAAGACGAATCGGACTCCGACACGGAAGACGGATCAGATTCCGAATTGGATGACGAGTTTAAAGCTCCTTCCGAGTTCGACGCTGCCAGTGACGCAGATCCACCTCAAAGGAGGAAGAAACATATAGGAGAAGACCAAACTGCCAACCCAACCAAGGCGTGTAAAAAGAATTCCAAAAAGTACCTTATCGATTCGAACACCCTGGCGTTGTATATTGCGTACTGCCGCATAACGTGCAATCCGATCATTTCGCTAGAAAGCAAAAAGATTATAATTGATGAATACATAAAAATGAGATGCAAGGAAGGGTCCAAGTCTCCAACGGCTAGCCCGAGACAGTTGGAAGGTCTCGTTCGTCTAAGCCAAAGTTTAGCGAGAATGAAACTCAAAGATGTAGTCACTCCTGAGGAAGCCAACGAAGCGGTGCGACTCATGAACATTGCAACGTTTCAGAGTTTGATAGATCCCCTAAGTGGTAGAATCGATTTCGATCAAGTCAACCTTGGACAGACATCTCAACATAAGAAGAAATCAGATCAGATAAAGGACATCATTATGAATGCTCTCCTTTTGAGGAACATGACAAAGGACGAATTGCTTTCACATTGTCACGAAACCATTATGAATAATCGGGACTATGCGATGCCTATGGATAGAAAGTCCTTCGAAGAAGCTTTCCACGACCTCGAACGTTCCCAGGAGATGACACGGCTGGTATCTGGCCTTTACAAGAAGAAGTAGCGAGGGGAGTTGCCACTCTTGCCGTATGGAGGTACTCTGTGCCGATGCATCTAGAGGAATTTTTATTAGTGGGTCAGGGCGCTTTGCGTGACTGTTTTCCCTTTTAGCGCGGCTCGTCGAGGTTAGCTGAAAGGTGGGACTTGTAAACAGGTGCCGGCGCGTCGAGTAGCACGGCCGAGTATCACCGCCGAGCAGCATCACTAGGTGTGTTTTCCCTTTTTTCCTCTCTCCTCTTTCCTTTCATTTTTCATTTTTAAGTGCCCCTTATTAACCGGGGAAGGAGTTGAGTTCCTTTGAATCACTGCGAAGGGATACCTCCCCGCTTTCGTGATGTACCATACATGTGTGTCAAAATGTACTTGCCCTTTTTCTGTGCATCCATCACCTTAGGGGTACATCAGTTCATGGGCTGAATTCATAACTCTACCCCCCCTTATTAGGGGGAGCATCGGGGAGGGGCATCTCACCAATATTGCAGCTGCACATAATTATGCCGGTGAATACATGAGGTACATTCACATATCGGTGAAAAGATACATCGCTACTTGCATCTCTACTTGCATCGCTACATGCACGTAAGCGGAATCCCTTCCCTTTTGTTGAACCTTAATGTGTGAGGCTCCCCAATTTCCCCGGGGGTGCGAAGAGCTAAAAGCAACGAGAGAATAACTCAAAGTGGAAAAATTAGTTCATCAACATTTTCTGCTGCCTACAAAAATGCTCAAATTTTTTAAAGAAATGACAACAAAAAAATACATATATCCCCTTGTCTCCACCGTACCTCTTTGCCACGTTGCATAAAAAAGTCGTAATATATTTTTTTTTTTTTTCCTTTTGTTCCATTGCATTATTGGAGCCTTTTACGGGAAATCCCAAACAGGGAACAAAAAAGGGAACAACGGAAGGGTGTTTCTTGCTTGGCCCTCACAGTTATCCATACAAAATTTTGTTCACTCCTTTTCCATTTAGCATAACGTGTAATTACCAATAGGGGTTCACTTATTTAGGCATTGCTCAATAGGGGTTCAAAGGATAAGTGAAAAAAAAAAAATAAAATAAAATTAAAGAGGCATATGCCCAAGAAGCATGTTCTTCCCGTTTCTACGTAAATAAGCATTCGATAAAAAACAGGCCACTCGATGTAAATTTTTGTGAAATGTATCCGCAAGAGATGTCCCCGCGAAAGAGCAGAACATTGCTATACAGTTCTCCTTTTTGACACCCGGTCGCGCAAAGCATTGAAAAAGCCAAAATGGGGCCATTTATACAAGCTGTATTTTATCATTTTAGTAAAAATTTCGAGGTTGACGTGGAAAAAAATTGGCGTTTCCTGTTTTTACGTCACTTCTATTGAACGGCATAAACATATATACCCTCGTAAGGGGTACCCTACCATAGGTTAACTTTCCCCTTCCTTCTGCATGCATCTTTCCCTATATGTGCACAATTTTTTGTGACATGCAAAGCATCAATTTGTTACACTACTATGCATGCAGGTACCTATATATATTGTATACATGGTATACTCATATGCACGTTCCTACATTGGGTAAAAATTATGGCGAAAACGAAAACTTACCCCCTGGTTGCTTTTTGATAATGTGCCTTTTATATGCGGCGCTTATTCGGATTTCTCACATCGTAGTAGAAACTTCTTGAC